AAATCCAAACCTACAGATATCATGCCTTCACCACCCCTAATGTTTCCACCGAAATGTCAGAGATGACCGGGCAAATTGGTGTCTGAAACCAAAGATTCACTCTTCCTAAAGGGAATAACATTTTACTCGAGTTTTTTTTTTTTTTTTTGGCCAAATACAAAACCGACCTTTTGGTCATAACAATCCACGAAAAACGATTTAAAAAAATTCCCTGTGTTTTAGACCACACTTCAAGAATAACAGAGAAAAACAGATATTTTCATAAATGGAAATTTTGACGCCTAAAAGAGAATAACTTCCAACTGATTTTTTTAAAGATTTCACGCCAAGTAAGAGACTAAAGCCACTAAGATGCAATGGGTTACATAGTATTAACTAATATGGGAAGAATTTTTTTTAAATATCAGAAAAAGAGAATGAAATCTACACTGTTTCTGATCTTCAACGATCTTCCTGATGTCATCAGTTCTCAAGTAAGCATCTGCGCAGACGACACCACCATTTACTCCTGTCTCAATAGTAAATCCGACATTGCTGACAAAGTTAGCCTGACCATTTGTGGTTGACTGGGGCAGGAAATGCATTTTGAATTTTAATGCATCTAAAATGAAACTGCTGTCATTTACTCACCATAGAGAACCCTCCCTGTCTCCGATTAGAATGTCTCCGTCTATCTGAATTCTGTAAGCTATCACTTCTTTCTCTATCGTTCTTTGCCGGATCTACCGCTGACGTCCTCACAACCATTACTGAATTTGTTTACCAAGCGCTTGACAATAAGGGAGAAGCTCGAGCCGTGGCTCTTGATATCTCTAAATCGTTCGATATGGTTTCCGACCTTCTTCGTAAGCTTCGGTGATACGGCAATGCAGGACGATTATTTGACTTGATACAATCATTCCTGTCAAACAGTGAAATGAAGGCCGTCCTAAACGGGATCTCCTCCAGTTTCTTCCATACTAACGCTGGTGTTTCCCAAAGCCTGTATCCTCGTTTCTACACAGTTTCTGATCGTCATCAATGATCTTCCTGACGTCATCAATGATCTTCCTGACGTCATCAGTTCCCAAGTAGACATCTACGCAGATGACACTACCATTGAATCCTGTCTCAATAGTAAATCCGGCATTGCTGACAAAGTTAACCTGGCCGTTGGTCTCGAAAACGACCTCTAATCTGTGGTTGATTGGGTCAGGAAATGGCTTTTGAATTTTAATGCCTCCAAAAAAAACTGCTCTCCTTTACCCACCACAGAGAACTCTTCCTGCCTCCCATAAGAATGACTGATTCCCAACTCCTTGAGAGCGCCTCATTACGCCTGTTTGGTCTCACGTTCTCCACTTACCTGAGGTGGAACAAATACATTGAATCAATTGCTGCATCTATAGCATGGAAAGTTGGTTTTTGTGTCGCGCCAGAAGTTTTTATCTCGTCTGAGTCCATCCTTCAAATCTACAAATCTACCATTCGTCCATGCATTGAATATTGTTGCCTTATATGGTCTCGTGACCCTGCTGTTCATCTCGAAGTTCTCGACAAAATCCAAAGACGGATATGCAATGTTATCGGTCCTGACTTGGGGTCTCGACTCCAGTCACTTTCTCACCGACGTCTGTCTTTTCTATAAATATTTTCATGCCAACTGCTCTGACGAGCTACTTTCACTGGTGTCCTGACTGCCTGAATTTAAGCGTGCTACTAGTTTGTCATCTCGGCCCCACCCCTTTACTGTCGAAACAGTTAAACGTAACCGCCTCATCTATTTCAGCAGCTTCTCTCGTACTTCCCGACAGTGGAACTCCCTTCCTCTTACTTGCTTCCCAGATAACTACAGTCTTAAAAAAATTAAATGTAATGTCAATCGGCATCTGTTACCTTGATACTCGTTCTTCTTTCTATCCTTTTCTTGCGTACTAGTGACACCCCCACCTTGCTTTTTTGCTTAAAGATAAGACAGAAGATCGCTATTGACATTACTTTTAAATTTTTAAAGATGACTGGAAAGCCAGAAGCCGGAAGAGAGCACCACAAGAGAGAAGTGTGAGAGAAGACGCTGTATGCATAGTTACATCTAGTAACTTCAACTGTAAAATGATGAGACCTTACCGCCAATCCAGTACTGCGCTTAAATTCTTGAAGAGAAAGTACCAAAAACGGAAACTCATCAGAACAATTACCATGAAAATATTTACAGAAAAGGCAGAGGGAATATATGTTACGGCAATGGGAAATAAGTTGAGCGTATCAGGGTATCACAATTCTAGTTTGTCTATGCCTTATTTCGATGATAATATTAATATATATATATATATATATATATATATATATATTCATGAATTATTCACACAAAAAAAAATGCAAAGGTTAATGATTTAATTGGCGAGAAATCCATCATCGCAAACAATTCAAATAATATACAAAAACCTCGGAATCCGTTATGAATGAAAAGATCCTTGTTTCTATAAACTTCTGCCGTATTAGTTCTTATTTTTACTACAAGCTTTCGTCTGTTCCTACAGACATCTTCAGGTATGGAATAGATATTGTTCTTGTTTTTCTCTCAGTAATAAGAGGACAACGAAAATATATGTATTGTTGTATCCGAAAATGCTATTGGAAATGAGTTAATGTTTTTGGAACGCGCAGTAGCAACGCTGAGTTTGATTTTAAATTTTTTTACAGTTGTGCGTTCATATACAAATATGCGCGCTCCAAAAACAATAACGGCAGAAGTTTATAGAAACAAGGATCTTTTCATTCATAACGGATTCCGAGGTTTTTGTATATTATTTGAATTGTTTGCGATGATGGATTTCTCGCCAATTAAATCATTAACCTTTGCATTTGTTTTTGTGTGAATAATTCATGAATTTGTAAATTGATTGCACGTTTATCGAAATTATATATATATATATATATATATATATATATATATATATATATATATGTGTGTGTGTGTGTGTGTGTGTGTGTGTGTCTGTGTGTCTACGAAGATCCGAAGAATCTATCGCCTCAGTTGGTAAGATCACACTACCAACAATAAGATCCTCTTTCAGACCTGGGAAATCGGTCTTCAAGGCGTAGGAAAATCAAAGCTAATTTAGAGACATTGTTGAAGTATACCTTACACAAGCTAAAAGGATCAGTTGAAGATATTCGTGACATAGGCCAATATCGACCCTGAGACCTGGGAAATCGGCCTTCAAGGCGTAGAGCCATCCGAGCTAATTTGAGAACATCGCATCAGTTGGTAGGACCGCATCACCAACAATAAGGTCCTCTCTCAGACATCTCTCAGCAGCATCGAGGGTACTATCCTTCAGCATCACCTCCGCTGTCAAGAATGCGTCCCACTCGACTTCCAAGTATTATCCTGTTTGGTGAGATTGCCAGCGGCCAGAGGCTACGCGGAGGCCCAAAACTACTCTTCAGTTGGATACATCGCTGACACAGGCCAGCATTGACCCTAAGACGTGGAAAACCAATGCTGCATATCGGCCTTCCTGGCTTAGGACCATCCGAGGCTGGGAGGGGACCGAGTCTTTCGAGGTCAGCCGTTAATATAAGGAGGATCTGCGACGTGCTGCCAGGAGGTCCCGACACGCCCAGCAACCTTAACCACCCACACTCTTCTGTGACTGCTGCTCACGACACTTCAGGGGTAGGCTGGGCTTTCACAGCCATCTCCGCCACCGCCACCAGAAAGCAGAAAAGGAATAAGGAGAGATGATGATGATACCGATGCTAGGATGCGATCCCGTGCCGAGAAATACAAATTATTTATGCTCGGTGTTTGTCCGCATGCTGATTTTTGGGACATTGGTTTTCGAAAGGTTGGTGAAATATCCTTGACACAGGCCAAAAACAATGCTTCAAGGATCAGTTGAAGACATCAGTGACGCAGGCCAACATCTTCCTTGAGACCTGGGAAATCGACCTTCCTAGGGTAGACATCTCTCCGCAGCATCGAGGGTACTATCCTTCAGCATCGCCTCGCTGGGTGGGGCACGTGCCCAAAATACGTCCCACTCGACTCGTAGGTTGGAGAGCTCGCTACCGGCAAGAGGCTACGCGGCGGCCCAAAATAACGCTTCGGGGATCAGTTGAAAACAACGCTGTAACAGGCCGACATCGACCTTGAGACCTGGGAAATCGGCCTTCCTAGAGTAGGACTATTCGTGGGGGAAAAAAGAAAGCTTCTGTCCTTTCTGGAAGTAGGGTCATATAATCGCGCAAGTGATAAAAAAACCCTTTCCGGGTTTTTTTATTGCTTGCATCATGGGAAAATTAATTTATTATTATCTTATTTGTCGATTCTAGTTTATTTTCCCAAAACCGTAAACACTTGGTAACTTTTGTTTTAATGAGGAACAAAGAGCAATGACCCGATTTCTCTGGTCGGAAGTCTTGTCAGGAGCTGAAATTCATCGAAGGCTTTTAACGGTGTGCGGTGACACTGAATGTCTGCGTAGAAGTGCGTATGAGTTGAACTTGAATAGTGGCTGGACAAGCGTGTCGCACAAAGAAGGAGAAGGACACCTGTCAACCTCCACCACTGACGAGAAAATTCAGCAAACTCAAGGGATAATAATGGCGAACCAGCGAGTTATCATCGATGAGGTAGCATTTGGACCACTGCTCTTTGTTCCTCCTTGGTACATACTGCTAGCGAAGCGGTCATGTTTACATTGTAGCAGCAGCAAGAAAACTGGCGTGACCAAACACAAACTTTGATCACGTGAACATAATAATACCATCTATAAGCACGCATGAGCTGAAAGCAGAGTGTAAAACCTAAAGATATGTTATGGGGAAAGGGCGGATAATTTTTCATTTACCCTTGTATATAACTTTGATAAAAACACTGTAAGACTGAAGTTTTTTGGCATTCAATTATCCGTTATTTGTCTGATGTTTGGGGGTTGTATATAAGAACATACAAACACGTCTGAGGAGAATTAGTCCATGAACATAGACAGAGAGACAGTGGTAGGCAGACAATGACAAAGGGAGTTGTCGAGAAAAAAAAATTAAAAGTCAGTGATAAACCTTTCTTTTTTTTCTCATCCCTCTTTCTCTCTATAGCACGCCGTCTCCAGTTACATGAGAGTTAGTTGCGGTGGTATTTAGTTACAACTTATCGGTTCATATTAACATACATTACGTTGATAAAGCCTAAAAGAGGTCAATAAATATTATTATTCACATTAAATCCCCGAAAAAAACAATAGTAGAAACAATTCTTGCTGAAGTTCACCACACACAAATTTTTTCCACGTTATTCTCGTCTGCCCCAGTCAAAATGGTGTCGTAGTGACGTTTTTGATGACATTTTATAAGGAATAATACTTGACAAATGGTCTTATTAACGAGGATAATTTAAAACATGAATAATTGCATTAATTAATGTCGGGTGGGTGTGTAAACGATATAACACGACGGAATAATTAATTATAATATAATCGAGCATATATATATATATATATATATATATATATATATATATATATATATATAAAAGGAAATATGTTGTAGTGGTTCCAACGAGAGAAAAATATATATATTAAAAAGAAGGGGGTGCCGCAAACGTTTTTAGTTTGTAATGTGGATTTATTGAAAAAATAAATACTTTGATTTACATAATTTCACACACGTGTTTCTGGTCTAGTCTCATAACCGTCTTCAGAAAGTGGACATTTTACATATTATTAAAAATAATTAATTTTTCTTCATGTTCTGTTTGTGTGTTGACAATTCAAGAAAGAAAATTCGGACCCAACACCAGAAACACGTATCGAAATATTATGTTGAACAAAGTAAAATTATTTTTTATAAAATAAACCATTACAAGACCAAAAACGTTTGTAATAAACCACATTTTTTTTTTTAATATATATATATATATGCTCCTGAAAAAATTATTTCGGTCGAGCTTTCTGGGGAGGAAGTGTGGGTTTGTAAAAAGTGACTATTATGGCTAATAATGCAAGACTCTTCGGTAAATCGAATCGAGTTCTCTCTAATCTAAAAAATAAATACGCTTAAATTCATCTTCATCCCTGCCGTGCGCCATGGCTTAGTAGTAGAATCCCCAATTCAGTCGGGTTTCTATCCTAGCTAAAGGCCACAATGATGAGCTGTGATGCAGCAAAACACTCTGTCTGTGGACGACAATATATATATATATATATATATATATATATATATATATATATATATATATATATATATATATATATATATATATACAATAGTAATGGATAGCGGCTCAGATTGTGAAAGTCGGATCTATTATATTCACTTATGTGCTGATACATTTGGAAAATCCTCTTCTTCTCTACCCCCCCGCCCTCATCATCAGTGCGTCTCCATTACTGAGTATCGAACCCGGACCGTTAGGCTAGAACGCACTAGACCAGCGGGCCTCGGTAACGAAGAGGAAATTACCTAGACTCAAAAAAGCGCAGCTATTCCTAATTCCGGTGGTGATATTCATCCAAGTATACATAAACCAATGGAATCGGCCCCAAGAACAACGACTTCTTTTACCAAGCCGCTCCATCCAGAGCATTAAACCTGGATCAAGCAGAAGTTTATAATAGACATTTTTGGAGATTTCAATAATTTTCACATAATATATATATATATATATATATATATATAAATTTAAAAGAAAAGCAGACCACTTTAAGTTACCATTATAATAATTTATTTCACTAGAGCCCTTATATATGAAGCAATATAGTTTTAAGGTGTGCTATATTTATGGGATAAAGTGCTCAATATCAGAAATAGAGCGTATGTAAATATAAATATAAAAGTGAACACTGAAGTCAACACAGAGGGGACAGGCTGTTTCATGCTAGAGGCAATCGTCAGGCCTCCAAAATAACAGAATAGACAATGGCAAGCAATCTAAACATTGGACGAATAAATAGCTTTAATTATCTTCCCAGACCAAAAGAAATTAATAAATAAGCGACCTAAGCAAATCCACACACCCCTAATTTTTTACTACGTTAATAAAACATCAAAAACGGAAAAGAATAAATAATACAAAATGAAAAGGAAAAACAAATAAAATAAATTAACCGAAACAAATAAATAAATAAACAAGTCACTGCCGCAAAAATAACCGCCAGAATAGATTACCCACAATGCACCACTGATCTATATCTATAAATAGTCGACTTGACGATTGTTTCTATCATGAAAGAGCCTGTTGCCTCTGAGTGTTGCCTTCAATATTCATATATATATATATATATATATATATATATATATATATATATATATATATATATATATGCACTGTTACATTAGAACATGTAACATTGTACATTTTCTTTCGACGTTTAATCTTGTCTCAGTATTGCAACGAGAAACAGTAGCAATAGTTTGATTGACTTAGCTGCATTCGGTCTGGAATCGCACTCTGATACAACCGTGCAGCCTCGCGTCCATTACTATGATCCTAAGAAAAAATAAATTTCGACATTAAATGACACATAAGGAATTGATATACCGCTAAACGAACAAACAAAATGAAAATTCGTTCACTGTGTCGGGTCAGAAATCTTTTCACGCCAGTGTCCGGCTTACTTATTTATAAATCTACCATTCGTCCGTGCATTGGATACTGCTCCCATATCTGGTCTGGTGCTCCTGCTGTACATCTGTTGATCCTTGACAAATTCCAAAGAAGGATCTGTAGCTAGTACAATTAATGGCTTGTAAATTTGAACGCCTCAGAACTGGTTTCATATAATCACCATAGAGAATCTTCTCTGCCTTCCACCAGTATGGCTGATGCTAACCTTTTGGAGTGCAATGTCTCTACCACTTCTTGGCCTCACTTTTTCCACTGACATGAGGTGGTATGGCTATATCGATTCAATTACTAGTTCCACTGCCGGGAAAGTTGGTTCCCTGTGTCATCCCAGACAGTTCTGCTTAGCAGAATCCATCTTGTATATTTATAAATCTACCATTCGTGCTTGCATTGAATACTATTGCCATATCTGGTCTGGTGCTCCTGCTGTACATCTCGAGATTCTTGACAAAAGGATCTGCAATGTAATCGACCCTCACCTGGTATCTCGACTTCAGTCAATTTCTCACCGACGTGACATGGCTTCCCTCTGTCTTTTCTATAAATATTTTCATTGCCACTGCTCTGATGAGCTTTTTCTCCTGGTGTCCCGACTCTATGAATTTAAGCGCGCTACTAGATTGGCATCTACGATGCAACCACCACTTCTACTCCAACAGTTTCTTTTCTCGCACTTCCCACCTGTGGAGCTCTCTTCCGTTTACTTGCTTCCCTGATAATTACAATCTTCAAAAATGCAACGTCAATCGCCATCTTTTGTCTTCTTGAATCCCGTTCATCTTTTGTCCTTTCTTCGATCAGCCGTTTACTCAGTCTTCTCTCTTATTTTCCCTCCCTGTAACCACCTGCGTACTAGTGACATTCACGCATTGCTTGGGGTGAAATGATTAAAAAATTAGGATCTATAATATAATCGATCCTGAGTTGACATCTTGACTTCAGTTACTTTCTCACCGACATGACGCAGTTTCCTTCTGACTTTTTTTTTTACACCTACTAATTACTAACGAGCTTTTTTTCCTTCATGCCCCAACTACTAGATTGGCAACTAAGTCTCGCTATGTGCAACGGTCAGTTCTATTCTAAGTTTCTTTTCTTGCAAAGTTGAAATCCTTTCCGATTTCTTGCTTCCCCGCCAACTACAATCTTAAAAACTTAAATGCAACAAAAAAAAAAAAAAAATCTGCAAATGACGTAATTTTTTTGTAAAGTTATCGGTGACTATAATATTTAATTTGGTTTTGTATGTGGTTCTAGGTCCGTGGTTGCTCTACCAACTTCTTACGGCAGGTGATCTTCGTAGTGCCTGGAAATGTTGCTCAGCTACAGTTGTTGTCGTTTGAATGTGAAAGAAATCGGTTACATCTTCCCATTCGTTTCCATTGCTTTTGAGGGAAGCAATATACTAAAACTGGTCGGTCTCACCCTCTAACTGAAAATCTAATTAGATATAGTTTACATGAGAATTTATTTTCTTTGTAATGTTAAACAGCACAACGCATATAGTCTGAACTGATTGCATTTATTGCCCCTTATAGGCTAATTTTCCTAACCACTGATCAATAAAATAATGTTATTCCACTCCATCTACTTTGATAAATGAAACCATTTTCTTGTCTTACATTTTATTTATCATTATCGACGCCAATTGCTGAATTGGAACTTGCACTCATCTTGCAAATATGATACCGGAGCGCAATTATCTACAGAACCTACCAAAGGCTTTTTTATCCCGGATCTCGAAACAACTTTCTTCAACTCTGTGACAGTTTTCCCTCCTTTTCTCTACTGGTGTGAATTTTCAGTTGTTGATCAGTCATCTGAACTACCGAGTAATTCAGAAATACGATACGTTGTGGTCCTTTCGTGAGGAGGTTTTTTATTTCTTCTTTCCAACCAGTCACAACATAAATCCTTTTCTGTTTTCATATCTAACAATGAATAAATTTATACGCATATACACATAATGTTAAAATAAAATAAAAGCTCCCATTTTTTTTTTCTTTTCAGTTAAGATTCCGATCAGAAAATTATTGGCAAAATGCAGATTCTTTGGTTCCAGTACCTTTTCGCATCACTTGCGTTAATATTACCATCTTCAGCAACGAAATTTGGTAAGATTTCTTTTATTTTCTTCTTCTTTCTACGCGGGTGGGCTGAAAAGTTCATTGGCTGACTATGAAGGAGCGATGTTAGAGCTGTGAAATCTTGCATACAATCATTTCATTTCTTCTTTTTAATAACTGCATTGATTCTTTCCAGGTACAAGGGTAGGCTGAAACGTTCATAGGCTGACTTTCCAGGAGTGATGCTAGAACTGTGAAACCTTGCATGCATTCATTTCAGCTCTTCTTATTAATAACTGCATTGATTTTTTTTCAGGTACAAGGGTGGGCTGAAAAGATTGTAGGCTTAAAATGAAGGAGTAATGCTAGAACTGTGAAATTTTGCATGCATTAATTCCTATTCATCTGATGATAGTTATGGCTTCGATCCCAATACCGGAATGTAACTAGTTTGTTTTTAAAGTAATGAATGTAACCAGCCACCTGCCCACCCGGTTAGAAGAGAGATTAGCTGCCAATCTCTGGTCATCGAGGGTTATTGGGTGCACCCATATACCGTTGTATCATCAGCATAGATATTCACAAATATCTGAAAGAATCAGCGCACATGTGAAAAGTATCTCTGATATATAAATGTGCGGCAATTATTGTTCCGTGTCCATAAATAAATAACGAAATAAAAATTATAATGTCAAATATAATTATAATAAAATAATTATACGAATTATAATTATCATTAATTCACTCTTTCTAAATCAATGAGAATCGACGCCACTTTTCTCCTCTACACCCATACACACGTGACATTCTTAATATCGGACAAGCAGTCAACATGGACCGACCGTCAACACGTGCGTCAACGAAAATTTCGCCTCCATTTTCTTTTTCAGGTCATAATACTAATATTTCTCACTTAACACTCAACACAAATTCGAGGTAAGAAAACTCCAGACACTTCTTGTATTTTGCCGACTAAAAAAATACTAGAAAGACTGCATACTCTTCAGTATTCTTTATCTTATCCTTCTGTTGGATTCCGATCCATATTTGATCTACATTTGACCCCAAACTCGTAATTTTAATCAGTATTACTGCCTCTCTTGTATCCAACATCACAATACAGCCAGATAATAAAAAAAAATACTCCTTTTTTTGTTTCCATGTCTTGCTGCTTTATATTTTTACGAGTATCTTTGTAAATATAAATGTTAGAGGGTTTATAATTATTTACTCAGGTTTGTAACCCCACCCCGCCATCACCACTTGGGTAGGTGATCCAAAAAAGCTTTGCTGTAGCAAAAAACTAGTAGTTGATCCAAAGTAAAAATATCTGGTTGAAAAAAAAAAGAAGATTTTTGAATAGTTGTTCAAGAAGGGGACACTAAGAATTTTAAATTTGATTTTTTTAAATATATGCTTTAACTGGGAAGTCATGTCGATTTCATTGAGTTATTATTTCTTTTGTGTCTATGTTTCTATGGCTGATGTTAACCTCCATGATAATGATTCGTTGCGCCTTGTCTGGCTATCGTTCTCAGTTGACATGAAATGTCAAGACAATATTGAATCCATTGCTGATAAGAAAGTTAGTTCACTGTCAAGCAAGACAATTCTTCTCTCCTGAATCCCCATATCTATAAGTCTACCATGCTTTGAATATTGCTGCCATAAATGGTCTGGCGTCTCTGCTATTTACCATGAACTCTTTGATAAAATCCAAAGAAAAATCAGCAATATTACTGGTCAGTATCTGGCGGTTCAACTTCAGTCACTTTCTCACCGTCATAAGGGTGCCTCTTTGTGTCTTTTCTAAAAATACTTTCATGGTAATTGTTCGTATGAGCTTTTCTCTATGGTACCAAGATTTTTTTTATTTAACTGCACTACAAGATTGGCATCGAGATCTCATTTGAGATATCTTGATGTAACCGTAAATTCTGTGCTAACAGTTTCTTTTCTCGCACTTCTAGCTTGTGAAACTCCCTTCCGACTCCATGCTTTCCAGCCAACTTTAATCTTCAAAAATTTAAATACAATCGCTATATACTGTCCTTCTGATTACTCTTTTCACTTTCCGTTCGTTATTATTGCTTCTGTTTCTAATTCTTCCACATCTAGTAACCCTTTGTGTTTTAGTGGCTTTATTGCCTTCCTTATGAAACTCACTTTCGGCTCCATGCTTTACAGCCAACCTTAATCCACAAAAACTTAAATGCAATGTCAATCGCTATCTACTGTCCTCCTGATTACTCTTTCCTCTTCCCGCTCATTATTAATGTTTACATTACTAATTCTTACACACTTAGCAAACCCTTGTGTCTCAGTGGCTTTAGTGCCTTCCTTGTGGTATCACCCTTCTGGCTCCATGCTTTCCAGCCAACTTTAATCTGCAAAAATTTAAATGCGATGTCAATCGTCATCTACTGTCCTCTTGATTACTCTTTCCTCTTCCTGCTCGTTATTAATGTTTCTGTTTCTAATTATTACACACCCTGTAACTTCTTCTGTCTTAGAGGCTTTACTACCTTCCATGGGGCTATACCAATCTAAAAAAAAGTCACTTTTGTTATTAAATATTCTACATCGTGATAATAGAAGATCTGACACCAATTTACTGTGGATGATTTTTACGAGTATGTTTGTATATGTAAATTTTGGTGGGGTTACAGATATCTCCCTATCTTCTGGTGGAGATACGGAGTTTTTCAACGTTGTTGCGGGTGTCTTGCAGAGAGATACGCTTGCCTCTTTCCTTTTCATTCTGTGCCTAGATTACGCCCTGCGAACATCTGCTAGTCTAAACACAAATCTGGGGTTCACCCTTGAAAAAGCAAGAAGTTCACATCACCCAGTGTTATAGATTACGCAGACAACCTTGCCTTGTTGTCGGACACGATTGATAAGGCTATCAAACTTCTCCAGCTCATCAAAGAAGCTACTAGCAAGATTGGTCTCTACATTAATTCTGGCAAAACAGAATTTATCACCTACAACCAAGAAGGGGAAATTAAGTTAAAAAAGCGGCAACAACATCATATCCGTCCAGGAATTTGTTTACCTCGGCAACAACATCCATTCAATGGAGAGAGACAGCAAAATCCGTAAAAGCAAAGCCTGGGGTGTCCTCCATCTCTGACAATCTTATCGACTATTGTTCTCGCTCCTCAATAATGTTTCTCTTTTTTCTTTTTCTTTCACACTCAGTCTTAGCGGCTTTACTGGATTACATGAGGTGAAACGATTAGAAAAAAACTTCTTGATTACTCTCCTATTGTTCTCGTCTCCTTAATAATGTTTCTCATTTTACTTATTCTTTCACACTCAGTATCCCCCGTGTGCCTTAGTGGCTTTACTCTCTTTGCATGGAGTAATATAATTAAAAAATATATAAAAACGTTCTGATTCTTTGTCATGAAGAACTATTAACAAAGTATTCTTTAATATTTTTAAGGTTTGTTAATCTTAGATTCTGGAGAATAATTTGTAATTCCTTAAATACTATGCTAACAGTTTCTTTTCTCGCACTTCTCGCTTGTGAAACTCTCTTCCAGCTTCTTGATTTCCAGCCAACTTTGATTTTAAAATCTGGGGTTCACCCTTGAAAAAGCAAGAAGTTCACATCACCCAGTGTTATAGATTACGCAGACAACCTTGCCTTGTTGTCGGACACGATTGATAAGGCTATCAAACTTCTCCAGCTCATCAAAGAAGCTACTAGCAAGATTGGTCTCTATATTAATTCTGGCAAAACAGAATTTATCACCTACAATCAAAAAGGGGAAATTTAGTTAAAAAAGCGGCAACAACATCAAATTCGACAAGGAATTTGTTTATCTCGACAGAAACATCCAGTCAATGGAGACATCAAAATTCGTAAAGGCGAGGCCTGGGGAGTCCTTGATAGTCTAGGCTAGAATGTCTTGCTCTACGGCCAACACCAAGAAGCATCATTTAACGCAATATACACAGGGATGTTACGAGTTGCATTGGACATCAGCTGGAAGAGACACCCAACAAAGAAACACCGGTATGGACACCTTCCACCTATTTAAGTTTTACTGAGAGAGAGAGAAAAGGCTTCGGCTAGCTGTTCACTCCTGGAGAAGTAAGACAGGAACTTGTAAGTGGCATGTTCCTATGGAACCCATTGCGCGGCAAAAAATCGGTTTGAAGACCTCATCACACCTACATTGACCAACTTGTAGATGACTCTGGATGAACTCTAGAGGCTCTGTCGACAGCGATGTCTCACAGAGATGGTTGGAAGGAACGAGTCAGGAGAATTTGAGAAGAATTCTCGACCTGATAATGATAATGAAGCATCCCAACCTTTCACTGTCGAAACAGTTAAATATAACCACAGCTTCTACTCCAACAGCTTATTCTCTTGCACTTCCCAACAGTGGAACTCCCTTCCTCTTACTTCCTTCCCTGATAGCTATAATCTTCAAATATTCAAATATAATGTCAATCGACATTTTCTAATACCTTGTTCCTAACCCCAATCTCTGTCTATATCCTTTCCTCAAACATTCCTCTTTACACTTACTCTCACTCTCTGTAATCGCTTGCGTGCTAGTGGCACTCCTGCCTTGTTTGGGGTGAAATGCTTAAAAAAAAAGAAAAAGAAAGTATTCAAGGTTATGGTTACACAATATTTAATTTTATATAGTGTGTGTTTTTAGACTTAGCATGAGCAAAATGAATTCACGGATTTGAACGGAAAAAATGGCCCTAAAATGGCGCTAACATCCGTGAAAAATTGTTTCATATTTTCCTTGACTCTACTTATCCCAGAAGGCTTCGGCTAGGTGGTCACTCCTGGAGAAGTAATTCAGAGCTTGTGATTGACAACCCACTACGGAACCCCTTGCGCGGCAAAAGATCGTTTGGAAAGCTCATCCCACCGGTATTAACCAACTTCTAGATGATCATTGATGTCATCTGTGATGTCTGATGGAGATGGTTAGGAGAAACGAGTCAGGAGAATCTGCGAAGAATTTTCGACCTGATGATGATGATGATGATAATGAAAATTATCTACTCAGAATTATAATTACTTTGCAGTTGTCTTCTTTTAGTATTTAGTTCCGATATTACACTAAATTTAATTATTGATTATGGTTGCGTGATTGGCATTAATTTTCTAAAATTTAGTCAAAATCATTTCTTTCTTTATTGCAGCCGAACACCGTTTAATCACATCTCTACGTCATGATAACATTCCAGGGGTCCGTCCCCTCATAAACGCCTCACATGCACTCACCGTCAATTTCCGCATGCAAATTTTGTCGATCGACATTGATGAGTACAACCAAGCTGTTTCGTTCCTCAGTTGGGATTCGGCAGTAAGTGATTCATGATTTCTTTTTACTTTATTCCAAGCCTTTAAAGAAACAATACAAGACAATTGCAATTCCATTATTTCTCTCATCTTCCTTCCAACCTTATCTATCTATCTATATATATATATACATATATATATAGCATAATGAGAAGCCACGTATACTTTCTTAATATGTATTCATAGAAAAAATTAAAAAAATAATAATGTTTTATTTTATGAAAGTATTTATTTATTTATATATATATTTGATATTTCATATTGCCCTCAATCTTTCGTCAGAAATAACTGTTTGTTACACACGCAGAAAAAAAGAAACATATTGGATTTTAAAATTAAATACACATAAACTAAGGTTAAATAAAGACTTACGTATTTTAAATCTTTATAAATACTTCAATAGTTAAGCATTTTTTTAGATATACTTTTAAAAAATTTTTATTTTTTTTTAAACAACATCTAAAATATTTATTACAGTTAGATTTAAGTTAGGAATATCCAAACAGTGACGTTCCATATCACGTGACGTCCGCGTCTCGCGACGGACGCTACTTGCTAACAGTAATTTTAATTTATTTGTAACAAACAATTATTTCTGATGAAACATTGAGGGCAATCTGAAATATCAAATATATATATAAATAAATAAATACTTTCATAAAATAAAACATTATTATTTTTTAATTTGCAACTTATATATATATATATATATATATATATATATATATATATATATAAACAGACCACTTTAAGATTTGTAGCGGGCGGTCCAGTGGCCCCGTATCACGGAAAGGGGTGAACGAGGTCACAAGAGGCCCGCTAACATTTTTTTGAGACGTTAAATCTGACCGTGAAACAATATGGACGACAGAACGAGGATATATATGATATACAGAGGTTTATTCTAAAAGGAAAAGGAAATGAAGATGGTCGGAAACGGTGGAGGTGCTGGATACTGCAGGAGTGAGCCGGATGCTGCAGGAGTGCTGTATACTTGTTGCTGTAGTTCGTGTTGCCAACTCGTTGTTTGTCATTGCCAGGGTGCCAACTTGACGTGTTGGGAAGAGAGAGAAAGAAAGTTCCCAACTATCGTCAAGTTGGCAGACAAAAAGAAATGGGAGCGTAACTTAATACACAGCCCGTAGATCGGCGCCCTTGGCCAATGATGGCCAAGGGGCCTGCGTAGACGACGGTTGCGGCCGCCGACAGCCTCCTCAAAGCTTGGGAGAAATCACTGTCTTGTGTCGAGGGGGACCAGCAAGAGAAATTGGCTAAGCTAACCGAAAAGTCTCTATAGTAAAATACTACAAGGTTAGCCAAAGATAACTAATGTCTAAAAATGACTAGAAGTATATTACAACTAGGTTTGTAATATAGCCTAACTAAAAAGGGGATTTGCTGGTCCCTCTGACGTGTTAACAGTGTGTAAGGAGTATGAATGAGAGGTCAAGGTCGAAATGACCTGTTCCTCCGCCGGTTCAAGGACAGAAGGAGGAGGTAACTCCGACAGATTCCATGTAATAAATTATTTCACCACAGCCCTTTTAAAAGGACTGCGGATCATCAGACTTTACTTCCAAAGATCCGCATTCCTTTTAAAAGGGCTGTGGTGAAATAATTTATTATGAGTCCACTAAAACACGTTGATTTCCATTCTACCAGCTCCAAGGCTAAGTCCCTGGAATATAGAAACTAATATGGTCACAAAGTGAGGGGTCAGTTTATATAACATTGTAATATAGAATTGATCCACCATTTTATATCCACTTTATTATTTCTTGTTTGTTTATCAAATTCTGATTAGATATGAAAACACCTCTCTTCCCCCGCTATGGGCTAATTAGTAAGGCGCGTATGCCTAAAGTATTATTATCTAAAAAAAATTGATTTTCTGAAAAAAATTTCCATTCAGATATTATGTTTTTTGTTTTGTTGTTGTTGTTGTTATATTGTAATGCTTATTTACATATTTTATGATTAATTTCACAGCAAATCGATCTTTATTTCTCTGATTCATTAAAGGAATGGGTTGATCAATTATTGACTTGGAACCCTGAAGAACATTCGAAAATTAACCAAATATACTTGAAAGAGAACATGATATGGAAGCCTGATATTTCACTCTTCAATATGTAAGTATATCAGACATACGCACCACAGCCAAATGACAATGCCCTCTCTAATAATGCCTCTGACAACTCCAGCTCCAAGCTGGAGAATGGGAGAATTCTGGATAAGTGGCGACTTATAACCAGCTGTTTATATAACCCAGGAAAACAATCTATCTAGGGGAAGGAAAGGCACTGATTTTAAACCTCCGCTGCCTTGCGGTCATGTACAAACATAGAAAATCCAGACATAAAACCCGGAATGGAGTCCAAAAGGAAGTTGTCTGTTAACAATGACAACTTTCCGTCAACTCCTTCAGCCAAACCGTCCGTGTAATACCCTGTAATCCTCGTCGGTACTACCGAGACGGGGTCCATGTAATGAGAGTAGAGCACGGCCTACACATACCATCGCCCAGGCCCGCACCGCGGAGTTTCACCTCCAAAGGACTGGATTTTGACCAAACAGAGTGCTAACTTTATCTCGTAAGATAAACGGATGCCTACTACATGGCCTGAAGATTGTGTTCAAGCATAAAACTACCGCCTCTTGTTGTTGACCTCATTGTCCATATTTCTATTTATAATTGCTCTGATATTGAGCACTTTTACTCATATATGTAGCATACCTTAAAATTATATATATATATATATATATATATATATATATATATATATATATATATATATATATATATATAAGTCAACATTGAAATCAACACAGGGTGATTCATACTAAACGCAATCGTCAGGTCACGTGTGTTGGTTTTTTTTTTCTCCACTATTTATATATACGGCTCAGTGGCGCAGTCCATTCTAACAGTTATTTTGGCGGGAGTGGTTAAATAAATATAACAACAGAATAGTCTACAGCAATCAATGCAAAAATTGGACAAAAAAGAACTTTAATTCCCTTCCTAGACCAAAACAAACTATTAAACTATTAGATATGAACTAATCTTAAAAATCTTTTACTACTTTACTAAGACATCGAAAACCGAAAAGAATAAATAAATATATAAAATAAAAAATTAAAATAAAAAAAAAACAAGTAAAATAAATTAACCCAAATAAATAAATAAACAAACCACTCCCGTGACCTGACGATTGCGTCTAGCATGAAACAGCCTGACGCTTTTTAGTTATCGCCTACTTTTATATTTACATACGCTCTATTTCTGATATTGAGCATTTTATCACGTAAATATTGCACACCTTAAAACTATATTTCTTCATATAAATCGAAAATTACCTCTATTTCAACCGACGAAAACTCCGTCAGTCTTATCCAAACCCATCATCAGGCCTACAAATTCAAAAAACCGTTGCTATATAATCCAAGTGAATATATAAAACATAAAACTGATCCCCAAAATATGATTAATGTATTTATTACAGATCAGAAATTAATACACAATAAAATCCAAAATCATGTCATATATACTAATTTCTTGTCGGAATTAAAAATTTTGATTTTCCCACTCCACAAATTACTTTCTCCTTCCATCACCTTTTGTCAGTAAACGTCTTGATTTTTTCTATCAACAGAATACAGCGACTATTTTATTTTCTTTATTTTCGTTATTGGGATTAGGAATTTAACAGCCGTCGGAAAATAGTTACAGAATTTATCCAATTCGATGTTTCAGTTAGACGAAATGCCCGAGTCAGTGGTTAGGGGAGGGTGAAAGGTATTAGCCTTAAAGGGAAGAGGTTTTGTATTTATGTCCATAATTTGAGGTTTCTATGAAAAATGAGGTTTTAATCTAGGTCGCTAAAAAAAGAGCATAGCATAATGGAAAAGACGCCAAACTTGACGAAAACAAAATTTTAGCGTCTAAATGTTTATGCTATTATTAAGAGGAAAGATCAAATGATATTTTAATCATATTTTTTTAATTTTTTTCCTTCTTTTTAGAACATTCTAAATTTTGATTAAAAAAAAAATTGTTTCTCTTTCTATCACCGGAACTTGTAAAATAACAAAATTTTAGCGCGTTTTTTTCTGTATAAAAGACATTAATTTTGAAAATCTTGCAAAAATAAAAATAATTGTCGGATTTTAATGAAACTTTCAGAAACTATTCACAAATGATAAAACTTATTGTAAATATATTTTCCTTTTTTAAAGTCATGGCAAAAATATATTTTTTTCAGATGTAGTTAATGGAAAAAATGGTTGACATGATTATCTGTCAATTTTGCTGACTAAAAAAACAAGATTTTTAACGAAAATTTTGGACGTGCTAGGAACGATTAAAACATGTAGAAAAATACCCCCCAAAATACATTGATCTTTCCTCTTAATAATAACATAAACATTTACACGATAAAGTTTTGTTTTCGTCAAGTTTAGCGTCTTTTTCGTCATGCAATACTCTTTTTTTAGCGATCTCATGAAGGAAAAGGGAGTTTTATAATTTTTTTAAATATATGTTAGGTTCCTACTTAAAAATACTCTTCCAAAGATAAATTATACTTAAAAATACGATATATTTATAAGATTAAAAATATGTCATATTTAGATAATTTATATTAAATTTAAGTAAGAATATATTTTTAAAATGTTTTATATTAAAGAATAAAAATTTATTTAAAAATAAAATATAAGATAAAATAAATTATATATATATATATATATATATATATATATATATATAGAGAGAGAGAGAGAGAGAGAGAGAGAGAGGGTCATTGAGGTCACCACAAGTGGCAGCAGTCTGTTTCAATCTTAAACGCAATCATCATGCCATGTGTTTTCTGTTTTGGCTCAACTATTTATATATATTCTGGTCAGTGGTGTATTATGGGTAAGTCTATTGTGTTATTGTAACGGTTATTGGGTGGCCAGTTGCGCTTATGTTTCGAATTATTCTCGGGGCTACTGAGTGGAAATAATTGTGGATCTGAATGCAGCTTTGTGGTTATTTTATAGTTTTATTTGTTAACTTTTTTGTTCTTCATTTATTATTTTATTACTTGTTGTTCGTTGTTATTATTACATTTACTTTTGTATATGGATGCCTCCCCGAATGATCCCGCAGACTAAATAAATAAAGGAATACCCTGTAGATTACGCAGATCGATAAACACCTGAAGAAGGCCTGAGGGCACAACGACTGAAACACTGTGATAAAAACAACTAAGATAAAGACAATAGTCCGAATATAAGTAATTTAAATAATAATAATAACTGATATAACGGGAGCATGGACTTTGGTTAAAAATCTTATGTTTGTGAATTTGGTGATATAATGGTTGTGAGTTCAATTCCTGTGTCACGCAGTGTGTATTTGCACACAATTAGAACGGCTGAGTAATAACAGATTAGTACTAAATAATACCAAAACGTTCTATCCTACTATCGATATATAGGGTGAGATGGGTAAACTGTGGCCATTTTATATTTTTAATTTCACGCATGCGCATTGTTTTTGTTGTTTTGTTTTGTTTTTTTGTCGACTGCGCAGTATAGTGGGGTCCGTTGTGCACCGTCTGTGAGAACAAGTGCACCATGACGACATTCACCCCGCCAGAAATTTTGAAACGACATGTTGTACTACTTGGCATTCTCACTGGAATCTCCAATACAAACATTCCAGTGTATTTGGGTGTCAATCTGAGGACAGTGTATAAAGGATTCAGAAAAATGTTGGACGAAGGTGTTTGTAGTGATTGCTAGTGACGGCGACGTTATGCCTCCATTCACTTTCACACAGGGCCTCATACTCAACACGGACGCCTGCATCAAGTGCCTTAAGGAGGGAGTGCAGCACTGGGTCAAGCACTGGGTGGCTACTGATGACTCTGCAGCATACAACACAATCAGAAGAACCCAGTCGAGGCTGTCAGACAATTTCTGCAATCACATCACCCCTTACATTTGGCCACTTAACTCTCCAGACTGCAACCCCCTTGATTATTATGTGTGGGTTGCAGTTGAGAGAGACACCAAAAAACTCCTTGTAAACCCAAAGATGAACTGAAGCCAACGATTATGGCAGCATGCACCAACTTAAACAAGGAGACCGTCCAGAAGATTAGCAAGAGATTCCGAAGTTGACTGAAAACCGTGGTTGAAGCCAATGGCGATTTTATTGAATAAATCTACTCTTTCATATTTCAAAATATTCTTTTTTTTGTGTGTAATTTTGGTAAATATATCCGTTAAAATGAGATGTCAGCGTTATTTTAATTTTTGCTTAAGTTAGACGACAATTGATCCATCGCACCCTGTATACCGGAGGAAGGCCGTAGACTACAACGGCCGAAACGTTGTGATGAATACAACAAAGATGAGGACAATAGTCCGAATATAAATAAATTAATTTTCTTATCGACAGTGCAGACGAGCCAGAAAGCACGTACAACAACGCCTACGCCAGTGTGATGTCAGACGGCAAAGTAACATGGACACGAACGGTAAGAGAGACATTTCACTGATTAATTGATTTTCTGATTCGTTTTTTTACGGCTTATCAACCCTTTGCAGGGTAGTTAAAGCTAGAAAATACTTTTGTAAGATATTTCTTTTTTTTTTTTTTACATCATAACTGTTTAGGAATACAAGTCCTACTAATTATCCCATAGAGGGGGGAGAAGAGGTGTTTTCATGCCTAATCTGAATTTGATAAACAAGAAATTGATATAAAATGCAGGATCAGTTTTCTATTACAATCGATATATAAATAGAGCCCTCACTTTTTGTCCACGGTATTTTATATACATTTTTAGTCTAGAGAATTCCTCTGGGGATAATACTGGTTTAATGATAGAAATCTTAGTAATTTACCCATAGCTATAGGGAGACAATGGGTGGATTCATAGCTAATCAGAATTTGATAAACGAAAAATTATAAAGTGGGGGATCAATTCTATATTATAATACTATATGGATTTGTCCCTCACTTTGTGGTCACGGTAGTTTCTTTACATTTATATTCGAGAGAATGTAGATAAATCTGAAAGACATGCCTGTGTAGATAATCCGTATTTCATTGACTGATTTGTATTCTACGGTTTATCAACCCTTTGCAGATTAAAGAAAAGACTTTAGATTTTAAGATTTTTTTTAATATAATAATTGTTTAATGATACAAGTCTTACTAATTAACCCATTGCGGTGGGAGAACTGGTGGATTCATACCTAATCAGAATTTGATAAACAAATGAAATTAGGATCTGGCTATAATGTGGGGGACCAATTCTATATTACGATCAATATATAAACTGATCCCTCACTTTGTGGCCACGGCAGTTTCTATACCTTTATATTCCAAAAAATGTAGATAAATCTAAAAGACATGCCTCTGTAGTTAATCAGTATTTCATTAATTAATTGATTCGTTTTCTACGGCTTATCAACAATCAAATTATAATGTGGATATAAAGTGGGGGATCAATTCTATATTACACTCAATATATAAACTGAACCCTCACTTTGTGACCAGATTAGTTTCTATACATTTATATTCTAGAGAATGTAAATAAATCTAAAAGACATGGCTGTGCAGCTAATCAGTATTTCATTGATTGATTCGTTTTTTACGGATTATCAACCCTTTGCATGTTATTTAAAGCCTCAAAATATTTTAGATTGTAAGAGTTTGGTTTTTTGGAGATAATCATGGCTTAGTGATACAAGTCTTACTAATTAACCCATAGCTGAGAGGAGAAAAGCTAGATTTATATATTTCTCAAGGATATTTGCGTGTAAGTGAATATAACGAAACCAATGGGAATTGAAACTCGGCACCCAGATTAAGAATTCTGAGTTATTAATCATTATATCACCTATAAATCTAAGCTTACAGCATCTGGTATTCCCAGGTGGTCACCCATATAGCTACTGACCAGACTCGACGTTGCTTAACTTCGGTGATCGTACTGGAACCGATGTTTGAAGGTGATATGGCCGTAACCCGTACCAGCCGCACATTCAAGATTACAGTCATTCAAGATTACAGTAACTAGTATTCTCAAGCCGTCACCCAGATAGGTATTGACCAGGCTCGATGTTGCTTAACTTTGGTGATCGTACTGGAACAGATGTTTGAAAGCGATATGGCCGTAATCCGTACCAGCCGCACATTCAAGATTACAGTAACTAGTATTCTCAAGCCGTCACCCAGATAGGTACTGGCCAGGATTGACGTTGCTTAACTTCGGTGACCGTACGAGAACCGATGTTTCAACGGGATATGGCCATTATCCATATCATCCGTACATCCAAGCTTAGACAGGCTTGTTAACCATTACACCACGTCGGATTGCCACTTGTTACAATGAGCAATTTACTAATCGTTGCGTAGTTATATCACAAGGCCGAAAGAATGGGGCACCTAGTGAGGATCGAACTCAATATTCAATTATAATAGATCTAGCGAGACAAGCTTGCTAACCATTACATCACGTCGAAGTGCCAACAGTCACTATTAACAATTTACTAAGGGTAGCTTAGATGTGGCACAAGGCCAAAACTATGGGGGGCCCCGGTGAGGATTGAACTCATTATTCAGGCGTAATTGATGTAAAGAGACAAGCTTGTTAACCATTACACCATGTCGAAATTCCCTATGTAGAGGTCTGTATGAGTAAATCGAGGTGTTTAAAAGTGTCTGGAGAAGAATGGCAGACGTGGAAGGAACCAGGACGCCCGTCGGCCTCCACCATTGACGAGAAGATTCAGCAAGCTCCGAAAATGGTAATGGCTAACCGCCGATTTATCAACGATAAGGTCGCCATGTTTCTGCATAGTTCTGCCTAATAAATCATCCTTGTAAAACCCTGCGTACGAGTGGCAATCCCGATCATCTGTTATCCTTTCCTCAATCCTCCCTATATTCAGTTTTTTCTCACACCTCGGTACATATAACCCCCTGCGTACGAGTGGGGTTCCTGTTCATCTTTTGTCCTTTCTTCAATTCTCCCTATTCTCAGTCTTCCCTTTCACTTTCATTTCTTGTAACCCCACTGCGTACTAGTGGCATTCCTGTTCATCTTTTGTCCTTTCCTCAATACTTCCTACACCCAGTCTTCTCTCACATCTCGGTCCCTGTAACCCCCTGCGTACTAGTGGCATTCCTGTTCATCTTTTGTCCTTTCCTCAATACTTCCTACACCCAGTCTTCTCTCACATCTCGGTCCCTGTAACCCCCTGCGTACTAGTGGCATTCCCTTTCATCTTTTGTCCTTTCCTCAATCCTATCTATACTTGTTTTTTTCTGACATCTCTATAACAGCCTACGTACTAGTGACATTCCCGTTTTTGGGGTGGGGAAGAAATGATTAAAATATAATATTTGTTCTATTTGTTGTGACGGATTAATATATTTGTCTTTCTTTTCTTAGGCCAAACACAAATTTCCGTGCAGGTTTGACACTGCTCACTTCCCTTTTGAAACTCATACTTGTGAGATGAGTTTCGGTTCGACCATCTATGACGGCAGCAAAATCGATCTGAAACTGGGCGGTGTGTCTTTGTCGAGCTATTCGCCTAATGTTCGCTGGTGGATGAAGAAGGCTGATGCCGAAAGGATCGTCTCATATTATCCTTGCTGTCCGGAACCATACATCACTTTGGTGTTTCGACTGACTCTCCAGCGACACGCTACTTACTACATCTACTCCTTACTTGTCCCGACCTTCCTACTTTCACTCTTTACTCTCATTCTTTATCTGTTACCCTACCACAGATTGGAGAAAATCACAGTAGGTAAGACAACTTTTAAAAAATAACCACACCTAATTCATCCAGAATGTTGCGGTCTTAATGTCTGCTTCCGAAACATTTCAAAAGTCTAAATGAAGACGTGAATTGTATCAAGATGGACGTTAAAAACTTAAGCATCTTGCCTGTAGTTATTTGTCATAGCTAATTGCGGAGGATAAAATGAAAACAAGTTGTGTATTCCAACAAGGGGATATTACAACCTTTCATCGCAGTTATGTAGGAATTAAAACAACCGGTTAAAACTCAGAATTTCTCACAGGTCAAATAATTTAAAAGAAATAGCGATAAATGTTTTAACGTCCCCTTGTTGAAATACACACCTTGCTATTATTTCATTGCTCGTAACCCTGTTGTGACAACTGTTTAGTATCGATCATATTAAAACTATCATCGTTAGCATGAAAAACTTACAACAAACAATTTAAACTCAGAAACCCCTATAGACTGATCAGTTTTCAGAACAAAGTTCGAAGAAAAAACTATTTTAAATGATAATAAAATGACACTGATACTATTAACATCCCCCTTGTCGAAATACGCGCTTTGTTTTCATTTTATTCTCCGTGCCCTGTTATGCCTATTGTTCGTAACTGGTACATTAAAATAGGCAGTTTATAGAAATCTGAACAAATCAGTTGAATTAAAAATAGAACTATGGCGGTGTCGTAATAGGGTTGGGAGGATAAAATGAAAACAAGTCGTGTATTTCAATAAGGGGATAATAAAACTATCATAGCTAGCACGAAGGAATAAAAACAAACAGTTGAAATTCAGAATTCTACATAGATTAAAAACAGTTTTCACAAGGTATGGAGAACAAATTATTTGAAATGATTTTAAAAAAGTGGCTCTGAATCTTTTAACACTTCACCTTGTTGAAATTTTGTCCTAACATGGTACCTGTTAGGACAACAGTTTGGTATCTGGGATATTAAAACTTTCACTGGCTTTTTACAGAAATTAAAACAAATGAATGGAGCTAAAAATAGAACTGTGTTGCTGTCAACACAGATTCGGAGGATAAAATGAAAACATGTCACAAGGAAGACATTAAATCTATCATCGCCAGATAATGTAGGAATTAAAACAACCAATTAAAACTCAGAAATCCCCAACAAGGTGTGATGAACAAATCATTATTTTAAATGATTTTAAAAAAATCGCGCTGAATTTTTTAACATCCCCCTTGTTGAAATACGCGCTTTGTTGCCATTTTTTCTTCGTACTATGTTGTGACAACTGTTTAATATCTGAGATATTAAAACTATCAACGTCAGTTTACCGAAATTAGAATTTATCCTTAAGTTATCAAAGGCCGCCAACATGGTTAGCGGCAAGAACATTTAAAATTTTCAGTCCTTCTAGATTTGTAGAAATCATCTTTGAAATAATAGAGAACCATCTTTTTTACAAATGAAAGCACTTTTCATGTTGTTTTTTAATGTCTACAGGGAAAGTATAAATTCATTAAGGCAGAAAAATATTATTTTATTCATTCTTGCTTTCATAGTTTTTTTTCTTTATTGTATTTGTTGAAATAAAACCCTGTAAAAATACTACAATTGGTCAAATTTTGGGGAGAACCAAAATACAGAAGGCTGTATTAAAACTTTTACAGCAAATGGAGGCGATGAAAGAGACTGTAAAAATATTTATTCATACTTAATTAGTTATGATAAATTTATAAGACTGATTTTAAAATTTCATTCTAATTACATCGCTCAAATATAACCAACTAAAGCAAAACACTTGTCAAATTTGATTAACTTATCACAAAATGGACATTGTGTAGATGCCCCTGGAGAAGGTTTTTTCAAATACAGTGAGTCAAAATTATGTTAACATTAGTATGAGAGGAATCATTTATTCAGAGTTTACTAAACAGTTTCCAGCTGTCGACCAACACGATTGATGCACAAATATCATCGATCAACAGTGTAATTTAGTGCCTTGACACACATTTCACGGGGATTGTTTGATATTACACTTTCTATTCTGTCCTTCAATGTCTCTAACTCTTTTGCTATACACACGATCCTTCATCATACTCCATAACCAGAATTTACAGGGTGTCTGATCAGGGGAGTGTGGTGGCCATGCCAACGGCCCGTCGCGACCTGTCCAATAATTTGGGAAAATTTGATCGAGACAAGCGCGAACAGTACGGACAAAATGAGGCGTTGCATCATCCTCTTGGAAATAGACTACTCGTCTTATTTGTAGGGGAAAATAGACTTGTCTGATTTGTAGGGGAAAATAGACTTGTCTGATTTGTAGGGAAATAGACTGCTCGTCTGATTTGTAGGGGAAAATAGAATTGTCTGATTTGTAGGAAAATAGACTGCTCGTCTGATTTGTAGGGGAAAACAGACTTGTCTGATTTGTAGGGGAAAATAGACTTGTCTGATTTGTAGGGAAATAGACTGCTCATCTGATTTGTAGGGGAAAATAGACTTGTCTGATTTGTAGGGAAATAGACTGCTCATCTGATTTGTAGGGGAAAATAGGCTTGTCTGATTTGTAGGGAAATAGACTGCTCATCTGATTTGTAGGGGAAAATAGACTTGTCTGATTTGTAGGGAAATAGACTGCTCATCTGATTTGTAGGAGAAAATTGATTTGTCTGATTTGTAGGGGAAAATAGACTTGTCTGATTTGTAGGGAAATAGACTGCTCATCTGATTTGTAGGGGAAAATAGGCTTGTCTGATTTGTAGGGAAATAGACTGCTCATCTGATTTGTAGGGGAAAATAGGCTTGTCTGATTTGTAGGGAAATAGACTGCTCATCTGATTTGTAGGGGAAAATAGACTTGTCTGATTTGTAGGGAAATAGACTGCTCATCTGATTTGTAGGAGAAAATTGATTTGTTTGATTTGTAGGGGAAAATAGACTTGTCTGATTTGTAGGGAAATAGACTGCTCATCTGATTTGTAGGGGAAAATAGAATTGTCTGATTTGTAGGAAAATAGACTGCTCATCTGATTTGTAGGGGAAAATAGGCTTGTCTGATTTGTAGGGAAATAGACTGCTCATCTGATTTGTAGGGGAAAATAGACTTGTCTGATTTGTAGGGAAATAGACTGCTCGTCTGATTTGTAGGGGAAAATAGAATTGTCTGATTTGTAGGAAAATAGACTGCTCATCTGATTTGTAGGGGAAAATAGGCTTGTCTGATTTGTAGGAAAATAGACTGCTCGTCTGATTTGTAGGGGAAAACAGACTTGTCTGATTTGTAGGGGAAAATAGACTTGTCTGATTTGTAGGGAAATAGACTGCTCATCTGATTTGTAGGGGAAAATAGACTTGTCTGATTTGTAGGGAAATAGACTGCTGGTCTGATTTGTAGGGGAAAATAGAATTGTCTGATTTGTAGGGAAATAGACTGCTCGTCTGATTTGTAGGGGAAAATAGACTTGTCTGATTTGTAGGGAAATAGACTGCTCATCTGATTTGTAGGGGAAAATAGACTTGTCTGATTTGTAGGGAAATAGACTGCTCATCTGATTTGTAGGGGAAAATAGACTTGTCTGATTTGTAGGGAAATAGACTGCTCATCTGATTTGTAGGGGAAAATAGACTTGTCTGATTTGTAGGGAAATAGACTGCTCGTCTGATTTGTAGGGGAAAATAGGCTTGGCTGATTTGTAGGGAAATAGACTGCTCATCTGATTTTTTGATAAAATAATCAATGGCAAATTTGGAACTTTTTTAAGTAAGCATTTACAGTCACCGCTGTAGTTGTAAAGAAATATGGGCCATTTACACCCTGTGACTTCTGGTTATGAGGTATGATGAAGGATCGCGTTTATAGCAAAAAATGTTAGACATTGAAGAAGTCAAGGACAGACTAAATATAAAATATCATAAGCCTGTAATGAACTGCAAGATGTTCTAATAAACGGAACAATGCTTGAAGTGAAGCACACATTCGCAAAGTGTGGTAAGAACAGTTAAATTAACTACCGAAGCTTCACAAATTGTATATAGACAAGATGTATTTAAATCATTTTATCTCATAATTTGTGTCCAGCATTATTATGTTGTTATATACACATATATCTATTTTTTGTTTTTATTATGATCTATAAAAGGATCTGACAAATCTTATTCATTGAGTAGCCTTTTTTGTAATTATTTACAATATTTTGACACACTTTTTACTTATCGAATACAGTAAAAAAAAAAACTGTATATTTTGCTTGTGGTGATTCATAATTAGAATTCTGGTTTGAATATATTTTCTGTTGAATGTATCTAATACAAAAGATATAAACTTTATTTAGATTGAAATAGTAATATTTTGAAGTCGGTTTGCAAGCAAAAGCCTGCAAAAATCATGTATTTCTGTACATCTTTCAGACGATATTTAAAACTAAATGCTCAAAAATTGGTAAAAGCGAAGAATCTAGTTTTTGGTAGCAGTACTTATCACATTACACCCCAGCTTTTTCAATAAGGGTAATGTTAATTTTCTTGAAAACATGGAAAGTCAACCTATTCTAATATACAATCGATAAGCCCAATATGGCGGCTCTTCTTTTCCAGAGATTATTGTTAGAAAAGGTAAGGAAAGTTGATGAATCTGTAGGTCTGTCTCATTCCGTGCAAACATTATAATTAGAGTACAGTTATCGTTCAGTTAAAGATTCAAACAAGTATTCAATAACTATATATTTAAAATTAAAATTATCTTAAACGTATTATTAAAATTGTTTATATTAAAATTGGTTTACATATATTCTTAAGAATGTTATTTTTTATTTTCTTTAAAAATATTGTTTATATTGAAAATGCCTTGTATATATTCTTAAGAATTTTATTTTTTTGTTTTCTTTGAAAAATCTCGCAGGCATCACCTTATTTGGGGCTTTCTTCGTTCTTTTAATGATCATGCAATCTATTGTACCTATATCCGATACCATTCCGTATTTCGGTAAGTATAAACATTCTTTCTTTTGTTCTTTACGTTTCTCTCTCTCTCTCGATTTCTCTCTCAGACACACATACACACACACACACACACACAAGAGTCTACTAATGAATTCAAGTTCAATCGATTATCTTGCGACCAAAGTTTCGTGGAACAACGCACATCAACGAAAAAAGATTTACGATTTATCGGAGCCAATGACTCTGATGAATTTCGTAACATTCTGAAGACGACCGCGAGATATTTTCTGTTAATTCACCTCAAAATAAGAATTTATATTTACTAAAAATTCCTAGATAGATAGATATGAACAGAGTTAGATAAATATATATATATATATATATATATATATATATATATATATATATATATATATATATATATATATATATATATATATATATATATATATATATATATATATATATATATATATATATATATATATATATATATATATATATATATATATATATATATATATATATATATATATATATATATATATATATATATATATATATATATATATATATATATTTAAATATGTTTTTTGTTGTATAAAATTTAATAATAGCTAAGAAAAAGACAAAATTTATAAGGCATTTTTTTATAAAAGAAATAGCTAAAAGAAGCAACGGGTTTCGTCCCAAGACTTATGAAGTTTATTTTTCTGGGAATAGAAAATTTATAAAACTGTGTAAATTCACTTAACGAATGGAATGAAATGGAAGAGAAAAAAATGAATTTCAAGAAACTAGAGTCCAATAACATTCAGATCCAGTAAGCATTCCCTCTGTTTACAAAGGGAAGGCCCACGGGATCTGATATACAAGGACTCTAGAACCTTGAGGTGATATGAGGAGGGGGACCTAGATAAAATCAAAAAACGGTCCGCACTAAAATCAACCACACATTTCCTACTATTTATTATATGCTCAGCAATAGCAGAGCCAGAACTATTGCTTAGTTGGCTCTTCCTGGCAGACGGATTCAAAATCCTGGCGGGTAAATGTTGTTTTATTCTCGAATCCAAACGTTGGGACGTTCTTCCTATGTAGTCGAGCTCACAACTACACTTATATTGGTAAATCACTGAATTAACATGATGGGGAGGGAGGACGTCCTTACGGATGGAAGAGAAAGCAAGACGGATAACAAATATTACCCTAACATTCGCAGAAAAATAACAGCTATTGATCAAATGTGAAAATCGTCTAGATAAACTTTCACCCTCTGTATCAATATAGGGGAGACTCAGATAAACTGGGCATTTATCAACAAAATGCGGCTTAACCCTATGAAATTTACTAATGACGTCTTGAAATATATTAATATGCTTATTCAGACGGCTTACGTTACACCTATCTGATCACAGCTCCATTAGAACCCATTTAAACACACACACAAACTTCCTAGACTCCATTAGAAACATACTAGTAGAAAACACAAATATATTAAGTGCATCCACCTGTAAAAAAAGACTAAAAATAATGGAAGCTTTAATAATAAAAAAGAAAACGCGAACTCTTAACAATATTAACTACGAACAAGGCCACAATGTGCTAACCGTATTCGGAAATTAAAAACAAAAACTACACACTAAGACATACACAGAACGCACACACTCAGTTAAGCTGAAAAATCGAATCATCCTTGATAATGGCTAAAGGTATAGCCGAAAACGCTCGGAAATATAAAACATTTGGACAGTTTTTATACACACTTTGTCCAGAAAAGAAAGCTCTTGTTCGAACACAAGAAAAATTAAATAAAAAGCTTAACCGTAGTACCTTGTCTGTCGTTTTTAATGAAACATGCATAAAGGAAGGATTGCTGCCTCAATATACAACTATATATATATATATATAGAGAGAGAGAGCTAGATAGAGAGAGAGAGAGAGAAAGAGAAAGAGAGAGAGGCACGGTGGAGTAATGGATAGCGACTTGATTCAGGAATCAGACAGCCGAGTTCGAATTCCAGTTACCTTCTCTTACGTGAAATACACTTGAATCCTCTTCTTCTCCCTCCAGCTATGGGTAAATAAAATGGGTTCTATAGCCTTGGATAGCAACTAGTCTAGGTGAGGACAACTCTGAATTCAAAACCTGCGGAGGGTCGTTTGGTGACCCTGTGGCATGTAGTGCACCAGGTCCCTGTATTCGGCCCTTCAAAAAGTGTGGATGGTTCTGCACGAAACCTTCACCACTATAATCAAATCTCATGTGTTGTTGTCGGGCTGTCGGTTTCCTAGGAACTGATCTGCTTGACCCTCATACGTCGAATTCGACGGGAGAGTCGAGTATATATATACATGAATAAATCTGTTTTTTGTATGAATGATTCATGTAATTTACATTGAACTGCACCACATACTTGATATTAAAATAACTGATCCGACATGCAAATTTCGGATAATAACTGTGACATTTCTGTATTTATTGAACAATTTAGTTCATGCCACATTGACTGAAAAACCTACCAGTACAAAAGAATTCTCCTATTACCATATTAGTACAAAAATGCACAATCTTAAAATTTAAAAATTCAACCTCAGCATTGCGACGGCACGCTCCAAAAAAAATTCTTACAATTAAAAACATATTTCGGATTACATCTATTCTTTCGTTGTCCTGTTATTACGGGAAGTAAAAAACAAAACAAATCTATTTCCATACCTGATGATGTCTGTATGAACAGATGAAAGCGTGTAAAGAAATAAAAAAAGACCTTATGCAACTGGAATTTATAAACAGGGATCATAACATTCATCTACAGGTTCGGGGTTAATGTACTTTATTAAATTTGTTTGCGAAGATGTATTCTCGCCATTTATATCAATAACTTCTATATCTGTTTTTTTTTGTGTGAATGATTCATGTAATGTAAATTGAACTGCACCACATATTTGATATATATAAAGAGATAGATATGAATAGACTAAGATAGAGATATAGATAGATATGAACAGACATAGATAATAGTTAGATTGAGAGATGAAGACATTTAGATACATAAATAGATAATGAAGTGTTGAAAAAGGTAAATAAATTGATAAATATGAATAAATTGAAATCGATAGCCATGTCATTTGTTTTCTACGGCAAGCATTTTCTTTATATTTCAGTGTTTTATTTGTGTTTCAATCTCGGCCTAATCGCCTTGTCTACATTCTTCAATTCCATCATCATTAATATGGCAAGTGAAGACAACATCAGAGAAGTTCCAAAAGCTTTAAGAAGCGTAAGTAAGAATACCCATTCTTCCTGCTGTCTTTGATTCGCTTAACTGCGAAAGATTTATGATTATGAACTGTATCAAATGCATTTTCGTTTCTTCATCACTGGAGAGCTCCTCTATATTCTTTCTTATTATTTGAGTTTCAGATAGACAAACCGGGAAAAAAATCCACCCGACATATTCTTATTCTAACCATCACTTTTAATAAATACTAGCCTACCCGTCACCCGTTGGGTCACTGAGGGTTTAGGTTATAAAACATTGAAGTTGATTTCAACATTTCATTGAAATAATAGTTAATTTTATTAGAATTCATTTAAATATTTCAATTCGTTCGTGTCATCATTGGTCTGGTTTACAAATTCATGTTTAACGTTTTACTCTTTGTTTACAGCATTTAATAGGAAGAGAACTTCCGGTATAAACTCCAGTAATAACTTTGATTTATGGTATATGTGAACACTTGTACAAAATGAAAAAGGAATTGTTATATTACTGTATAAACAAGACATATTTTTAAATAAGAGTAAAGAGTAAGGAAATTTTGTCTTCAGGCAAGTTTAGGGTTAGAGTTACCGTATATCTGTTCGGGGTTTGTACACGAAGAAAAGAAAAAAAATATCAGAATACATTTTCCACCTGTTTTGATTTTGCCTTTAACGCTTTTTCTTCCTCTCTAACGTGAACTGAAACGAGACCAGTCTTTTTTTTCTCCTGTGTGTCTGTCTGTCTCTTTCCGTTCCTACATAGTTACCGCGACGACAGTCATAAGTCCCTTCTCCCAACAGACAAATTCGTACCTATTTACACTAGTTGCATTGTTTGAACTGATGTCCTCATCTTTATTGCCTAGTTTCAACAGTCTCCCTGCCAAATATTTAAAGATAACTAGATCGACTAAGAACAGAGGTACCTTGAAGTACCCGAGCGGAGGCCAACACCTCTACCAGGCGTAGGAGTTGATAATTGAACTTGTTTCAAGCTCAGAAGGACATAAAATGAATCAAGATCGACTAAGAACTGAGGTATCTTGAAGTACCCGAGCGGAGATCAACACCTTTACCAGACGTAGGAGCTGACAATTAGACTGGTTTCAAGCTCAAAAAAGACATAAAGTGAGTCAAGATCGATAAAGAACTGGGGTACCGTGAAGTACCCTAGCGTAGGCTAACTCCTCTACTCTATTCGTTCATGTCATCATTGGTCTGGTTTACAAGTTCATGTTTAACGTCTTACTGATTGTTTACAGCATTCAATAGGAGCAGAACTTCCGGGATAAACTCCAGTAACAGCTTTGATTTATGGTATATGTGAACACTTTTACAAAATGTAAATGGAATTGGCATGTTACTCTATAACCAACTCGTATTTTTTAAATCAGATAAACTTAAAAAATTTTTAAATATGACAAAAAATACATTTTTTAAATATTTAAAATATTGTTTGTTTAAAGAGAGCTGAAATATAAATAATTACTCTATAAACAACTGGACAAAACAGCAAAGCGGGATCTCTTTGTGTTTGTCTTTAAGTTAAAAATATTTAATTAAAAAAACTGTCTGTTTGAAGAAAGTTAAAAAGTTTATAAACAACTCGTATTTTTAAATCTTATTCACTTAAAATATTTAAAAGTCTTAACCACTTAAATTATTTTTAAAATCTTATCCACTTAAATTATTTTTTAAATAACTATATGCCGGACGCACGCAATAAGCAAGCCTGCAAACTTTTAGTATATATATATATATATATATAATATATATATATATATATATATATATATATATATATATATATATATATAGTATTTATATGAAATCCTTTGTTATAGATGTCCCAGCTCGTCTATTTGAAACTCAAAGATATACAATATATCTATAAAGAATATATTTCGATTTCTGGTTAGAAGGGTTTGTGCAGGACAAATTTAGTTAATAAAGGGTTTTTCATTAAGACAGATTATATATAAGGGTGTTTCATTAAGACGGATCAAAGTCAACAGTAAATAAAATAAAGTGTTATTGGTGAAATTTTTTTTATTTTTCTATTGGATCATGTTATTTAAGTCATGGCAATTAAGTGTGAAAAATAATATCGTCCAAATGTCCGCCAAATCTGAAAGAAAAAATAAAAAATCATTAGACGCTTAAAATTAATTCACATTAAAGTCGGTTCAAGTTAATGGAATACCCTTCATATTATGGTTCCCACATTATAGACAGAACAGTTGCAAATTTCCAGCTGGAGCCAATGATTGGGATTCGAACCCAGGTAAGTAAGCGAAGATTTTAAATACTTGCTTATTCAACATATTCTGGAGCATGGGTTCAAGACATCTGTATACCGCAAGCCAACATTCACCGGATAATACCTCAGCATAAACTCCCACCATCCATATAGTGTAAAGAAAGGGACCGTTTGCTGCTTACAACATCGAGCAAAAGTCATGTGTCGACCAGAGACATATAAACAAGAAATTGTCTGTATAAGTAGTACCCTACAATTACTCCGGGTACGTTACACCAGGGATGGAAGGGCCCAAGAGGATAACAACACAGAGAAACAGCGTTTTTTAAACTTGGCACAACACATATCGTCTTCCCAACATTTTGATCTAACCTAAGCCAAGGACATGAAAAAAATATCGAAGGGAGATAACTACGCTATGCTTGAATATGTAACCCTATATCTGTCCATATCTTTGATATGGGATATTAGGATTACTTACATTATTTGGATTTTTATCCTCATCTTCATTGCCATATTCTCAACCTTTCGGCCGTTGTACGCTCCGGCCATCTTCAGGTGATTGTAATTTGAAAACGAACCCTTTATTTCGTCCATTGAAGTAGCATATTCTAGTTTCACGTGTCATGCCACTTCCGGGTGTCTCAGTTATTTCCCATCAACTCTCCTAGTTTTTTTTCTTCTTTTTTTTTTGCTGGGGAGTGTTCACCACTGCTGTATTCTGGTATTGAACTCACAACTCTGTGGGTCAGTGGATAAGTGCGTTGGTTAGATCCAGTGACTAAGAGTCCAATATAAGGCTACAACAGTGGTTAACCAAAACTTAGAGAGTTAAAGAGAAAATAACACCCGGAAGAGACATGGCACGTGGAATTAGAACAATCAACCTCGGTGGAGGAAATAAAAGGTTCGGTTCGAAATTTCAATAAGCTGAGGAAGACAGGAGCGTACAAGTGCCGAAACGTAAATATAGCAATGAAGATGAGGATAACAGCCCGAACAATGTAAATAATGCAAGTAATGTAACCCCAACGTCTGATAAGAATACGAGACGAAACATTTCTTACGTAAAACAACTGATTATTTACGCCTGGACATTGTCACATTGACCTTGGTTGTATCAAGGGTATGTGATTTCAGGTCTTTCTTCAAACGTTCGATCTCCTTAAAGCACTCGACTTTCTCCTTGTGAGAGGAGTGTTTCTTTAATTTCCGGTTGCCTGGTGTGTGTGTGTGTGTGTGTGTGTGTGTGTGTGTGTGTGTGTGTGTGTGTCCTAAGTCCAGATGGATTCGCTTCCTGTTTATGTCTACGCAACCACCCACATCATTTGAGGTCCAATTCTGTACTTGTTTGCTATGAGGCCATCCTCCAAGTTAACACTCGGATCTCCCAGGTCATTTGACGTTAAAACAAGTACAAAACTTCCCTTGATATGTCTTATAGTGAATCCAGTATATATTGGGGTCATCACAGATCAACTCTTCCTAAATAAAGGCTTCCTGACGATTATTAAATTCGATTCTGACATACGGTATATGTTTGTATCAGCGACATATTACAGAATCAATTGACAGTATCAGCGACATATTACAAAATCAATTAAATCAGAATATTGTGAATATACTAATAATAATTATTATGCATGAAATGGCTGGTTGATCATTTTCAAGTATGCCTGTTTTCTAGTGTAGTTAGCTAGTCCCTGTTGCTGACGCCTGCTCAGGCACATTTATGTTTGTTTAGCACTCACAAAAGCACCACTTGATATTTACTGCATCTGAATTTAACAGTCCATATATACAATTTCTGGGAGTTTGTGAATATTCTGCTGTAACCAATCAATTTGAGCAAGGCTGTTCGGATCTTTTTCTTCATAATTGAATCTTGTATTCCGTCTCCTTCATTAATTCCTAAATATTTGTATGTACCATCTTTGTCTAATTCCTTAATCTTCTTGATATTATAGGTCTAAATCCGTAGTTTCCGTTAGTTTACCGCCTTTGAAGGTGGTTTTCACACATTTGTCGATTCCGAACTCCATTATTATTATTATTATTTTTATTTGCTTTGATTTCTGGTGTGTACACATTTCTTTCCGGGTCCCGCCCAGAGACCTAAGGTTAGAAATGGAATCATGACATTGTCCACTGACCAATAAAAAAACACACGCACACATATATTTTACATAGATAAACCCCTTTGTAAGATGTGGGCTGTACTCGGAAGAACAATGTTTTGTATTTTTGTAAGACATGGGTTTCCAAGAATCCTTTCAATGAGTCTACTGGAATCTTTTGCAACCAGTCCGAGGGCTCCAACTATAACAGGGATTGTTGATGTTCCCATGTGCCACATTTTTGAGATTTCGATTTCAAGGTCCTTGTATTTTGATAGCTTTTTTTTAAAAATTACATGCTTATTATTATTATTATTATTATTATTTCAGATCATCGAGGTCTTCGCCCGTCTTCTTTGTATGTCATCTATCGTAAGGAAATTCCAGTCCCGTCATTTGATCAATGCTGACTTCGGCATTCCACCCGTGACTAACAATTACTACACCCTGCCCCTACAAGACAAGAAACAACAAAATAACGAGACTGCCGAACGGGACAGCCTCTGTGACGAAGACCAGCCAGAGTCAGTGTCTCACCGATTCGTTGACCAGCGACGCTTCGAGTCTAATGTGGCTGCCATCAGGACTTTTACGAGTCGCTATCAAGAGAAGTTAGCCGACGAAGAAGGACAAAAAAGGCAGTTGTCAGAGTGGCGCGATGTGGCCAGAGTAACTAACAGGCTTTTCTTTCTTTTGTGCTTTTTTGTCGACATCGGTACCATCGGCGCATACCTCTTTTTAGCCATCTGGCCCTTGTGAAAGTTTTATGTAATCAAATTTTCGAACCAAATTGCGCATAACCGAACGCTACGATACCGTACCCAATATATATATATATATATATATATATATATATATATATATATATGTTGAAGATCAAATGTTGATCAGATATGGATAGGAATGTGACAAGACGATAAAATAAAATAAAGAACAAGTTGGAAACGAGTCTCAATCTAACATGTTTCCCCTTTTATTAAGGCTTCGTTATAGATCGAGAATAGAAACACACACACATTTATACTATTACACACTCTAACGTACAAAATGTCCCTCACACATATTTATATATTATCTATTGCGTTTATAAACGTGACACTTATTTGACCAATAAGAACGAACGAAAAATCTTAACATCTTTTGTTTTTTTCATTTATATTCTCGATCTCTGACAAAGACTTCAGAAAGGTGAAACATGTTAGTTTAAGATACGTTTCCTACTTGTTCTTTAGTTCATTTTATCATATAAATACACACACACAGACACACACGTGTGGGGGGTGGAATTTAGAATTATATTTTCATTTAAGCATGCTTCATTGAATAATCTGGACATATATCTATTTTATTTTAATCCTATCGAATCCTCTGTTGACTTCTTAATGTTAATATTAAATTTATTAAAGATAGACTCATGGCTTTTTCATTTCTTTATTTTCCCAAATACTTTCAATCCCATTCGAGATTATCTTCAGGGTTGAATTACTAGGGTTGGTTTTGAGTTAAGCAACACCGTTTTAAAATGTCTATGATAGCAATACTTTTAAAATACTTCATCTGTATTTATAAAAACTACAATTATACAAACATGAAAAAACTACATTAGATAAAAACATGAAAAAAACATTATAGCTTTTACAGTTAATTTTAAAATTAATTTTAATAGAGCGCGTTTCTTGCGCATTTGCAAAAAAATCACAATTATCAAATACATTAGTTTTTTGTCTTAGCAATTCATTCCTGAAGATGATCTTGGATGGGATTGAAAGTACTTGGGAAAATAAACGAGATTAAAATAAAACTACGACACACGCCTTAATTAATTTAATATCAACATTATAAAAGTCACTCAGAGAATTCGATTAAAATAAATATAGACATATGTTCAAATTATTCAACCAGACATGCTTCAACACACACACACACACACACACACACACACATATATATATATATATATATATATATATATATATATATGAGCGGACACTGAAGTAAACACAATCTGCAAGCCAGAATAAACGAGATTAAAATAAAACTACGACACACGCCTTAATTAATTTAATATCAACATTATAAAAGTCACTCAGAGAATTCGATTAAAATAAATATAGACATATGTTCAAATTATTCAACCAGACATGCTTCAACACACACACACACACACACACACACACACACATATATATATATATATATATATATATATATATATATATATATATATATGAGCGGACACTGAAGTAAACACAATCTGCAAGCCAGAATATTGCGGTCAAGCATGAAAGAGATTGGTGTTGACCTCAATGTACACTTTTATATATTTACATACGCCCTATCTCTGATATTGAGCACTTTTACTTATAAATATATCATACCAGAAAACTATATTTTTAACACACACACACACACATACACAAATACACATGCATATATATATATATATATATATATAGAGAGAGAGAGAGAGAGAGAAAGAGACACTTTTTTAATATTTATGTATATATCTATTATTTGTATATTCTTTTTTTTAAATACATTTAAAATATCTTATAACACAATTAAAATATTATTCGTTTTATTTAACCATTAACAGCCTTTATAATAAACTAACACTAATTTTGAAAAATGAGCAAACGTGAACAAACATGATATATATATATATATATATATATATATATATGTATATATATATATATATATATGACTGTGTTTACGAAACACTGGAGTTGGGATGCTTAAGATTACACCAATCAGCTAAGCGAAAAAACTTTTATTTGTATGTTTATACTTAAAGAGGTTACAAACAGGCAAACGTGGTACTCGAGTGAAAGAACAGCGACACGCGCGTAGATGAAAGAAGAGAGGTATATTGTAAAAGAGAATACACCACTGAAAGAGAGTTAATCGGGTGGCAGGATAGTAATTTCCGGAGCAAGCCCCAGGCATATCCTGACTTCACTATATATAGCTACTTATATAGTCAGTCCATATAGGCGATAGGGAGTGTGGGGCTTTCCATTACAACATTGTATTAATTATTTCTCTCTCGATATATTCAGGGTGCGATCGATAAGTTGTTGTTTTATATAATGCAAAAAGGAAAATAACAGTGACATCTCATTTTAACAGATATATTTACTAAAATTACCCCAAAATATCTTGAAATACTAAAGAGTAAATCTATTCAATAAAATCGCCATTGGCTTCAACCACGGCCTCCAGATGACTTCTGAATCTCCTGCAACTCTTCTGGACGGTCTCCTTGTTTAAGTTGGTGAATGCTGCCATAATCCATGCCTTTAGTTCATCTTTGGTGTTACAGTGAGTTCTGTTGATCTCTCGCTCATCTCCACCCCCCCATAATAATCAAGGGGGCTGCAGTCTGGGGAGTTAGTTGGCTATATATAAGGAGTGGTGTGATAGCAGAAATTATCTGATAGCCACGACTGAGCTTCCCTGTTTTTGTGGCATGGTACAGTGTCCTGTTTTAGATAGATGGTCTTCTAGCAGCCACCCTCTTGACCCAGGGCAGAACTAACTCCTCAGGGCACTTGATGTCGGCCTCCGTGTTGAATTTGAGGCCCGGTGGGAAGATCAATAGAGGCCTAACGTCGCCATCTCTAGTGATCACGCCAAACACCTTCGTAATCACTATTAGACTCATCCAACTCTTTCCGAATCCACCGCACTGTCCTCAGATTGACACCGAAATACTCTGAAATGTTCGTATTGGAGCTTCCGGCGCAAAGCAGTACAGTATGCCATTTCTAAATTTCTGGGGTGTGAATTGTTTCATGGTGTTATTTTTCTCACAGACGGTGCCCAACTGAATCTACTATTCTGTGCAGTCGACAAAATCAAAAACAAACAACGCGCATGCGCGAATCTAACAATATAAAATGGCGACCATCACACCCTGCCGTTTGTATCGAGATGTCTGCTGCAATACGAAACTTGAAACATTGATATACTCGAATCAGATGATCTTTATTTCTTAAGAGATTTTATAGTGCTGTGGGGACGTTGTTGGCTTCCCTCTCGACTACACCCCATGTGTAGGTCAGGTCTGGATAGCTAAGAGTGGGGTATATCTTTAGTTTGAAGTGATCGGGAAAATTTTAGCAATCCTTGGGTCGTCTTGGCCTTATGAGAAGATGCAGAGTCTTGTTGGCAGATATACTGTCTTCTTATGCTCATGCTTTTTATCCCAGACTTCACAGCACTTTCCAACACCTCCTAATGGTCATCAGCTTTGACCGTTAAGCCCTGAGGAAAGAAAGCATTTCCCTCGTTGCTTAGGATTTCCAGAACCATCACAGCTGCCGAAGAACTTGTGGGTCTGAGCGTTAGAACGCTCTTAAGGTCCCTATCTATCGTTCCTTCGTTTGACCATTTGGTCCTGATCAAAGTTTTTTTTTTCTGATCAATAAAAAGAAAACAAAACTTGGTCTACTGCTAGAAATATCGGTTAACTGTGTTGGGCCAAAGATTTCTCGTCAGAATTAATCTTGCGCATTTATAAGCGCATCTAAATGCATCTTGTAGACAGCTATTAACCATTTCACATTTTGCAATTGCCAATTATGATATAGAACACAATTTAAAGAAACCTTTCTGCCAAGGACCTTGAATGTAGACATTGGGCGGAAGCGGAGAACATGGCGACCCTCAGTCTAGTCGTGCATTTTAATGCCTCCAGAAAACTGTTTTCCTTTAAACACTATAGAGACACTTTTGTGCCTGTCATCAGCCTGACTGAGGCTAGTCTCCTGGAGAGCAACACAATGCCCCTTCTTGGCCTCACGTTTTCCACTGACTTCAAGTGGAGCGACTGTATCGAATCAATAGATGCATCTACTGCAAGGAACGTTGGCTAACTCTGTCGGGCCAGAAGGTTTTTCACGTCAGTGCCCATCTTGCACATTTACAAATCTACCATTTGTCCGTGCATTGACTACTGCTGCTATATCTGGTCTGGTGCTCCTGCTGTTCATCTCGAAACTCTTGACAAAATACAAAGAAGGATCTGAAATGTAATCGATCCTGAGCTGGCGTTTCTGTCACTTTTTCACCGAGATGACGTGGCTTCCCTCTTTTTTTTATCTAGAAATATTTTCTTGGCAACTGCTCTGACGAATTTTTTTCGCTGGTCCCCCGACTACAGGAATTTAAGCGTGCTACTAGATTGGCATCTAGGTCCCACCCTTTTAGTTGAAATACTTAAATGCAGCCGCCACTTCTATTCCAACAGTTTCTTCTCTCGCACTTCTCACCTGTGGTTCTCCCTTCTGTTTACTTGCTTCCCTGATAACTACAATCTTCAAAAATTTAAATTCAACGTCAATCGCCATTTTTTGTCTTCTTGAAACCTGTTCATCTTTTTATCCTTTCCTCACTCCTTCCTATATCAGGCTTTTCCTTTACGTTTACTCCCTGTAAGCTATCTTGTACATTTATAAATCTAACCTTCGTCCATACCTTGACTATTGCCGCCATATCTGGTCTGGGAAGCCAAAGAAGTATCCGTTGCTTCCCTCTGTCTTTTCTACAAATATTTCCATTGTAATTGTTCTGATGACCTCTCTTCCTTCGTACTTCGACAGCACGAATTTAAGCGTACTATTAAAGCAACCGCAAGTTTTATACTAATAGATTCTTTTCTCGCACCTCTCGTCTGTAGAAAACTCTTCCGGTTTCTTATTTCTCTGCCAGTCTTCAAAAAATTAAATGCAACGTCAATCGCTATCTTCTACCTA